AGGCAGTGGTTACTTTTGCAAAGACATGGAATGTACAGTATGTGGTATTATGCATTTGAAGATAAAACAAAGGATGTAGTGATTGTCACATAATACACCAAGGCAACCTTATGAACAAAAGTTTGAGTTGGAACATGATATATGTGCAGTATTGTAAAACCAAATTAAGTTCCTTCAGTATCCCTAACCATTCTGAATCCAACAAGCATATGCATGACGTCAGTGATCCCTAGGGGTTCAGGGGTATTAGTCAGGATATCTTGTTCTTGATACAATAAGGTGCATTTTGAAAATAATCCGTAAATACATTCAAGTGGCACTGTACATTTTATTCAATCTGTCATGAATTTCTTAAAATACACTTATTAAATGGGTCTTTTGTTTTGACTTGATAACAATGCTTTGTGACTAAACTTTTTACAGTTCTTTATATAAAAGGTTTCACTGACTACAGAAAAACAGCATCTTCATATAATTTGTCCTATGATCAATCCTGAATCTTCCCAGGCAGGCAAAGTTGTATTAGACAGGTTTCTCCATGATGCATCAATCAAAGACAGTCTGCGTGTAACTGGGTTATTGTTACAGAATCCTATCTTCCATTGACAAAAATCTGCCATAACTGAAAATGAAAATGTGGTGTTTCTTACGGCCTTCCAGCAGTTCATAACGCCAGCCTGACAGGTACATGCAACTATTGAGCTTGGCAAGAAAACCAGTGGAGCTTTGTAAAGTGAACTTTTTTCTGGACACTGAGACATTTTAATGGCAGAGTAACTTCTTCCAGGGAATACTGTCTAAATTACTGCAAAAATCACTCAAGAATAAAACAACTCTGATTGAAATGTAAATTGACCTGATCTTTTCCTAACTCAGTACAGCCTCAGGGCACTTTCTTGAGAGCATCATAAATTCAATACAAATTGAAAGAGAGACAACTTCCTGCTTGCTTACTTGACTGTCATTTTTGGGGGGCTAAATTTTGTTGTATTAAATTGGAATGCACAAGATTCTCCGTCCTATGCTTACGATAAATTTCACATTTGTTTTCAGAGATAACAACTACATTGTTGATTTCATTTGCTTACCTCTACAATGTCTACATCTCCATCTGATATTCCCAACTTGCTGAGGTAAGCGATGGACGTATTTCTCATTTGGTCAGTTCCCGTCTTTGACGTATCACTCCTACATGTAACAGGTAAAAGAATGCACAGTAATTTACTGAGCATGGAAATTTATGTGTTTTCAACAGTGTTGGTCTGATAATGATTGTGAAAGAAAATTAGAAAACAAATGCTTTTGAGAGTGATTTAAAAATTTTCTGAAACTTCCAGAAATATTCCTTCCTTTCTTTCATTTTTAACAACTAAACAGTCATTATTAGCAAATACACTGTTCACTGGAAATCCAAAGACTTTATTCTGATGAGGTGGTGAGACACAATAGTTGAAAATTTAAGACATCGAATGGCGAAGGACTTAAGATGACATCACTCATACCCACATTCACTATTACCAGCTTGGCAGTCATGAAAGAATTTTACACTGGCAGGATATATGACAGATTCATGTTCTCTCTGCATGATTGATGAGAACTAAGCTCCTTAATTTCAAATTTAACGAACAAAGTCATCGTGACTATGGTGATGGGTCGCCAAGGCAACTGGCTAAGCCCACATCAATCTCCCAAGTGCTAATGCTATTTCCTCAAGCCTCAAGATGGTGCAAGCATTTTTATGATAACCCTACATACATGTATGAATGTACACTGTACATGTACCATGTGTAGGTGCTGTGATTTCTTCAGCTTTATGATTGATGTTGACAAATAGTAACATGAGATGCAATGACTGGCAATCCAGGTGCTCTCCTGATTTAGAGGTTTGATTAATGAAAAATCCACCCTCTCTCTCCTGACACCATGACACCATCACCTTCATCAAACTGATGAAGAGAGCCATTCAAGTAAATATGACTATGAAAAATGTGACTCAATTGTAAGAGGTTTAAAATATTCTGACGGAGTCATGACATAAAACTCAAGCACTAAAACCTAAGGTAATGGGCTTAATGTGAAACTTCTGTTTAGATACAACAGACAGCCTGGTGCCAAACACCACAGGTATAAGTATGCTACATCTGAGGCGAGTCTGGATGTGTTGAATATGAGCCAGACTGCGGACTCCTTTTGGCTCTGGTTATTCTATTCACAATATCTAGACATGTACTTCTCACAAAGAGCAGACAACATCTTATACAAGGAACATATGGGCTACGAGATATCTGTGTTGACCAAACTGTTAATGTAGATGTACCTTTTAAGATAAAGAAATAACCAAATCTAAGAACAGGACATTAAAACAATAATAAAAACATGCACATTTTTCAACATCAAGATTTTACAAGACTTTTTGACATAAATCATTTGACTGTTGCTCAATGGAATATTTTTTTCCTGCATGTAAATGAAATGCTTAATGGAGCTGCAGGTGCTTGTATTATTTTGGAAAAAAATTAACTCAATTCTACTACACAATTAGTGCAGGATGTGTTTATGATGAAATCTGTGGCTGAATTCGACACTGAACTGCTCTAAATGTAAGTACATGTATATGTACATGTGTTTGCAGAGTGCATGCATGGGGATGTGCATGGCATTGCACCATGCTTGTTTGGCCAATGTTTAGCCTGAGACTTTGACATCACAGTGAGAATGGCTGTTGATGAACCGCTGTGAGTGTACACAACAAGATTGATGAGGGGGAGTCTCGACTTGAGACATCCACCTGATCTTTACTCTTTTAAGGGGTTTGGCGAGATGTACCATTTTTGTCTTGGACAATGTAAATTTAATATCTGCCTTGCTAAACATAATCAACAGCAGGTGTATTGGTACAGTTTTCACGAGTTTACAGGCCACACATCTGTTTTGTTCATAAAAATTTGCTTGTGGGTTCGAGGCCCAGCTAAGTAAACAGTTTTCGAAATCTGCCATGTTACAAATATACATGTATATCAATGAAGGGTTAGAAACTCCAATATAACATTGGTACCTCTATGATGCAAATTAACATCATAAAGAAATGTCTGCTTGTAGTACCTACTGCTCATCTGACTTGAACCAGCTAGCTGGCATCAACAAGCTTGGCAGTCAAAGTGTAAGGCGACATCGCAAAATTGATCAACTGTTCCATGCCGCGGACATCCCACGGGATCATGGAGAGCACGCCAGTCCCTGCCAAACAAAAGACCCCTTGACAAGCGGGTACGCCCGCAGACGGAACGCAATATACAAGGCTTATGTAAAGTACTAGTCTCATGAATACGCCCGATATCTGCACCAGTAAAAGTAGGTTATGGGTTCAAGTCACATCCATGTAAGGTTGTGAATTTTTTCACGAGCTCCTATGTAACACTAAACTTAAGTATGCAGTGTTGTAACTCAATTTTCTGTTTCTAAAAGTCAAGTCACAAGTCCTCTTTCCATAATTCAAATCACTGGTCAATTTTTCAAAAGTTACCTCACAAGTCGACATTTCCACAGTCTGGAGTCATTTTTAAACCTTCTGACATTCATCCTTAATTATATGACCTACATGTTCATGTATGATGTTTAGCAGAACAGATAAGACCTGTTTGCCTGATGGTTTACATGTACATCATAATGTGATGGTATTTCTAAATATTTCTGATGGTAACACAGTCATCTTGTCTCAAGTCAAGTCTAAAGATAAAAAAATTGACCCAAGGCAAGAAAACCCAATACACAAATTAACAAAACTGAAATGCATAGCTGCAAGCCCTCGCCTCATTTTCAGAAATATTTCTGTAGTTTTTTCAGCAAATATCTCAAGAGAAATGTAGCAGTTTGATGAGTCACAAGGTCAGGCCCAATTTGATGTCCAAAATTGCCAGCATATATGCCACACAAATGCAAGAGCCAAAGCAACTAACTCGGGCAAGCGTACGAACAAAAAACAAAATGCGTGCAATCTGATAACTAGCATAAGGTCACTGATTTTAAAACGATCTCTGCTTCTTATGTGGAGAGAAGAGGTCTGCCAATATTTTGGGTAATCAAAACTGAGAAATGGGACAAGATACGTGAACCAGCCACTTTTGGTCAAGCATCTGGTACTGGGAAGCCCATCCACAAGCCCTACACTTTATCCATAAAGAGAGTGTAATGTATGTATGGGGACATGATAAAGTGCACATGTACTTTCATAGTAAGCCCTGTTGTACACTGTACTTTCATCGCTTTATTTCTAGCAGTTAACTCTGTCTTGGAGAATGAGTACGAATGGACTGTTTTTGAAAATGAAACCACAATACACGCTGCGATACTGTTCGGTTCAACTCTCTTAGTCTTACTCCATACATCCAGGCAAACAACTTGTAGGATGATCAGCAGTCTGCCCATACTGTGTTGAGACCCTTGTAATAAATCTACCTAATTACATCTTGTCAGAAATGGATATTGCAGTAGTGGTAGAGGGGGGCTTGTTGTACAAGGGAAACTGGCCTCCGCTTTTAGCAGGTTCTAAAATAGGTTGGGGCTGGGATCAGTCTATAGACGAGTCACCTGATGTTTCATTGGACATTCCTGATGGCCCCCTTGAATGGCGGAAGGCACGGTGTTGCGTTTTGTATGGAATGACTGTCATGGAACAGTGGATCCTAACAATACATGTAGCTGTTGCAATGCTTACCATCATTAAAGGGGGCCACTGCAAATACTCAGTAACAGTGTTACCATAGTTACTGAAAATGTCTATGGCTGATGCTTGATGGTCTCACAACTTTCCCCCCCCCTACTTTGAAAATCATTTTGCCACTGCTGGGATGTTGGTAGACTTACAGCAATCATTCTACTCTGCAACATTTGGCACAGTGAACCACAACAAGCTGTAACATTCACCTTATCGTATGGTATTAATTAATGGCCAAACCCTTGACTGGTCATGTCAGGTTGGCATGGTGGTTTTTTCCCTCACCTTCCACCTCTGCAGTCCAGGTTTGATTCCTGCCTCAGTCTACATGTGGATTGGTTTTTCAGTCCCTACCTGATTTTATGAATTTTACCCAGAATATTCCTTTGGGGTTTTCCTCCCACCTCTAAAACTGTAACTGCTTCTCAATGTCTCCTCTCTACAGGTTTCTTCAGGCTTTGCGAGATACAGTGCCTTGGGTACTTTTGAGGAATCTTTGGTGTCATTACCAGAAATAAATAATAATAATAATACTTGAGTGATCATCATCAGCTGGTTTGTGTCAGTAATGCTAAATCCAATATTGTTACATTGAAGTACATGTAAGTATGGTTTACCTTGGGGATCGGTTGGTGGTTACCATCTATCTCTGTAGTCTGAAATAAGTCTTACAGTCTCATGTATGTTGCCGCTGCTACACTAATGATGTCAAAATCAATATGATGCTCTGTCAATTCCCAACAAACTTGAGTTATGCATTGATGATATAAGTGCATGGATGGCCTCTGATGCAATTCAACTCAATACTTGTAAAATAAGAATTTATACCATTTCCAGGCTCAAAGTCACAACTTGAGGAGATTAATCTTCATAATGGTAGCATCAACATCAAGGATTCTCCTGTTCATTTCTCAGCATCAAGTATCTCCTCATGATTGTCGATGGCACATCATGTTTCTAACATACAGTACATGTATGTAAATCAGTCCGATTTGAACAATGTACATGTAACTGGGAAACATTTGGAAGTCCTTGACCAGCTCAGTCAGAGAGTAACTTGTTCAGCCCTCATCTCCCCGTGTTTGGATTTCCAGAACTCTGTTTTATCAGTTAGCTTGTAACCAGCTTACTTTTCTTCGATGACTCCAAAATTCCTTGGCTAGTATTGCGACCTTGGTTACTTTTACTTCCATAGCTGAGAAGACTACATATAAACATGCAGCAGTGAATAACAGTTATTGTGGGACAAACTCTTTATGGAGTCAAATTTTCATCTTGCACAACTCGGTCCCAAGTTATCGTTTAAAAAATTTTCCCCTTAACACCATGCCAGCCAGGGCAAACACCAACTCACATTTAAATTACATACATTACATGTGGGCATTTGTTTTTCTCGTGAATTACTCATTTTCTTGAACTGTGAACACTATTTTGAGCTGGATTTTTGTTTTGGTTATCCTAATACTTCCTCTTCCTTTTTACTAAAATAACCATGACTCCAAAATGCCTAGAGCTAAACTCTATTTTCAGTGAGGAGAAACCCTTATGAGAATCTGATTTTAAAAGTCCACACCAGGTTCACACTAACTGCATTATGTGGACCTCTTTGAACTATTCACAGATCCACACTTAGTATACAAGGCTGACACATCCACACAAGAGGAAAACGTCTGACAAAAAATTCATCCTGCTATTGCAACTCTTACAATTCTTGTCTTTTCCACCACACAAACTACATGAACATGTACATGCATGTACAATGTACATGTACATGCATGTACAATGTACATGTACATGCATGTACAATGTACATGTACATGCATGTACAATGTACATGTACGTACACATCAAATACATGTACATGAAATTGTATGTCCAACCCTCACTCCTTTCACCACCTAGGCACATAATGGAAGGCATGATTGGGAACATCCTGATGGCAAACAAATCCATCTAGAGTGTTAAACTGTGCTGAAATGATTGGTGAGGTCTTAGTCAGCATACATGTACATGTACAGTTGGTCTTTTCCTTTTTTCAAAGTTGAATAATGTGTTGTACTGCTAGGTGCCTTTCATCAATTAATGACTGTGATAAGGTTGCTAGTTTCTTAAAAGCAACACACAGATACATCTTTGTGTGGACATACATGAAGTTTGGGTATCTGCAGAAATTAAATCTATCCAGATTAAAAATATAAATGAAAACTGTAAATCTGTGGAATGCTGTGGCTCATCTGACTTTAATTTCTTGACATATTCTCATTATTTAGGAAAACAGCTTTCTTCTATGTCTATGTAATGTCTGGAATTTCAGAGACTAATGGAGTTGGAAATATATGCGGAATTATGAAAACATGTAGTAAGAAATAGTGAATGCCATTATTTGGTCTTGGCATTTAAATGTCAAGAACAAGTAGCTCTGGTAATATTCTTTGCGTTCTTTTGAAAAGGCCAAAAAGAAGGAAATGGTATTTTCAAATGAAAACCCTACCCCATAAGATCTTAGTTTCCCATAAGATCTTTCATGGAAGCCTTCAGAGCTGTACCTAAATCCATCAATGTGTCATAAACCAATAACTTGTTAACATATACATGTACTTTGGTCCAAGCCTCATAAAAAGCAATAGTGCCAAGTACGGTATCTGCAGCACAAAATACATCCTAATTATAAGTTTTTCACAATAAAGCAAATTCAGGTCTTTGTGGAAAATTTAGAGTTGTCCAAGTTCTCAGGTGTATTTTTTTCTTACATTTTGTTGGAAAGAACATTCATGCTCATGTATACAACTCTTTCCATTATTCTTTTCTTTTTCCTTCCGACACCACTCAAAGTGTTAAGTGCCAAAACATGTTTACTTACATATCAGTGTGGACATGTTTGTTTTCGTGTAAATGTAGTTGTACTAGGACAAACTTTAAAGCTAGATTTTTATTAATAGTTTCCTTGACCGTTCCTTTTCCCTCTGACGCTGATAACCTTGATCCCAAAACGCCTCTAAATCTGTTTTTTTTTAGAGAGGGGAAACCTTGTTACACGTGGGCCTGGCTAAGTCCACACAAGGTTCACATAACCTGCATTACGTGGACCTCTTTTCTTCTTGGGTCCACACTCGACACATGTATGTAAGGTTGCCTCACGCACTTGCAATTGCACACATAAACAATCATGTTTATATTATAGAATGGACTCTCCTTGTTCCGTGTAGTTAATAAAACATGGTGAAATATCTTGTTTTTCTTGCACAGTGAACACTCTGTTTGTTTGATACCAAGAACCCTCACCAAAAAAAGGCCTCTTAAACTCTTTTCCATGGAAGAGGTAACCCTGTGTGGACCTCCCTTAGGCCATGTCTGAATTATGTACTTGGCTGCAGCTTGAAAATATACACAGTTCCATAAGACATGAATCAAAGTGGCTGTCTACTAGCCACTACCATTGACTCGTGAGTGATTTCAGCTCCCATTAGTTTTGTACATGCCTTCAAATTGAGGATGTCCTTAATTGGACTACTGACCTTGATTTCAAGAGAATGTTTCACATGATTATTCTCAGTATAGAGGCTTTGCATGGTAGCCATCTTGCAGGCAGTTCATTTGTTTCACAGGAAAACTTCCCTTGTGCATACCCTCTTGAACAAAAGAACTTTCCTGTAATATGGCTACCATGCAAAGCATCTACGTACATACACGTACATGTGCATACTGTATATGGCACGGTATATTGTAGGCCTACATGTAGGCATTTACAAAACAATGTATTGGTAAAATACATGTACATGAGTAATCTCCTTCACCATCTTTTTAACATGCATAGCAGCTGATGTGTGATGTACAGGTATCACGCCATGGCAGTTACACGTAGACAGAGAATAAAGCTCATGATTTCAATGTGTCCCAAGTGTCTATGCAACTACTACATGCAGTACTGTACATATGTATGTTAACTGTGACAAAAGAATCAAAGGCACACACTGTACACTCAACATGTCATCCAATATTGAACGGCAGGTGCAATGCATTTTAAAGAGGTAACAGTCCAGCAGCATTTGTGACACAATGGTTGTAACGAAAGAAAGGAAAGAGACTAATCCTGAGAGAAATCACAGTGTAATCTTTTATGAATGCGAGCTTCCCTCTTGAATGTGAGTGCTTGCTGATAAGCAATGTTGAGGTACTCCCTACTGTGCATATGTGTTGCATACAACATATCTGTGTGATACGAATGAGTTGAAAACCCATTCAAGCTTATGAGCTTGCTTGCTCTCATCAGAAATGCACTGTGTTCTTACAAGTTAGCCCACAAGCAACCAGTACATGTAGACTGAGTTGTAAGAGCTCTCCTTGTAAGTTTTACCCATCTCTCGCTGCTTATGCTTTTTATCATGTCGCAGGCATCATAAGAGCACAGCTAGAATGCCGTCTAAAAAGCAAGAAATTAGTATCCAGCAAAAGAATAGCTGATGAATGAAAAAATCTCAAACAAAATGAATTGAACAAACCAAACCAACCTCAGTGTGATCTTGGTTTTAACTTTGTCAGTTCTTTGAGAGACAACAGAAAACACAGATGAAGTGAAAAAGACATAGTAATGAACTTGAGGAAAAAAGCACAGAAAGATGGTGAGTGTTGCAACATGAGAATCCAATAGAATTGATGCGCACATTATCACATGAAACTCTCCGGTAAGCCCAAAAAATGTTGGTCAACAAGAGAGGCTTCAGTGCTATTTCCAGCAAGCAGCCACACTTAAGCATGCTCTCCTCATGTGGAGAAATTATGGCTTTGTACGCATTCCTTTGAAAATTGGCTGCTCGCTCTCTGCCACTTCACACAGGAAAATCAATACAGTTATATGCATCTGTCACCACCGGCCATCATAAATACATGTAGTATGTGTCCTACAAACCCCAAATTCACTTGCATTTCTAAAATTACCACTGCCAGAGAACTGCAAACGTATACTTTAGTAATGTCTGCATCTGGTCATGTCATCAACAAAACTTTCATCCCACTTTCTTTTAATAGAACTTGCGCTTAGAATGTGTGCAACTGTTTATCATTAATTCTCTGTTTCCCACTTAGTTAAACACCATGAACAAACAGTACTGTATTTAACTTTGAGTCGACTTGATTTATTTAAGGTTGAGGGAGGCAGCAAAACAACTTCTTAAGTGGTACTCTCTAAAAAGTAAAAGTAGTAATAGTTAGTAAACATTATTCATAAAGACCTGGGACAGTTTTTCTATTCCAATTGGTCTAAATGCATCACATGACCGTGTATTAATATTTGATAATGCCCGCTGAGAAGTGATAATGCCCGCTATGTTAATCATGTGCTGGCACGTGGATATGAGACAGTTTAATCAGGACTGACTGGTCAGAAGTTTGTCTACATGTAATGCACCACACAAGTGCCAAGTTCATTGAAGGGGATGCTTTTGGACAACTTTCAGAAGGAATATATCATAAAATGGACAGGGGATGTTCGGGTAAATGAAAGTAACATTTTAGACCAAAATCGTTGGAAATCCATCATATATTGACTTCTTTTGACTTTCTGAATAAAAAAGTATTTATGAATGGGAATAACTATCTGCTTGGCCAGTCTTAAACTAACGTTTCAGATCTTGCTCAGGAGAACAAACGCTGATAATGCCCTCGCCTGCGGCTTGTGTATTAGTCAAGTCCATTCTCTTGAGTCGGTCTTAAACGTACATTTAAGACTGGCAAAACACATTGTAATGACCTGATCACTATCATGCTGATAAATAATGGACCCAACTAGAGAATTTCCAAGAGAAAAACTGAGGAATGTACTCACCCTGAGATCAACTGGAGGTTTGGCGAGTTGAGGCAGTAACTGTGATAATATACAAATGTATTTTGTGCTAGTTCCAAGAGATGACTATGGATGAATGCTATGCACGCTTGATCACTACGGAAATGTTTACACGTCTTAATCATGTGGGTCAGATGAAAACCCTGGGGAAGACAGGAAAATTTGGAAAGTAAAGTTAAGAAAGTAAGATTGGTTGCCACCTGTAGCTGTCACCTGGCCCTATCATCAAACTGACCAAATAAAAAATGTCCTTAACGCTCGAAAATGGTATTACTTGGCAAAAATGTTGGCAAACACAAACAGAAGATTTGCAGTAGAATCCGGAGAACTCAAACCTCAGGGAAATAGATAAATAATTCACATTATCCGAATTTTCAGCAAACGAAAAAGCATGAGTCGGGGAGTCATAATAGGCTTACATATTACACATACGTCTCGAATGTGATCAAAATCAACTTGCTCCCAAATGGTAACTTTTATGTGGCTATTTTCCCCCTTTTATCCATTCAAATGTTATATAAATTTGTTCACAAATAGTCATTTTTCTGAGATGTAATATTGCTGTGACCTAAAATTTCCTTTTTATTGATAGATAAGCAAGAAACCACTTAAACGTTGTACCTTCACTGGGAAAAACTACTGAGTTGTTTGCTCAACCACGCTTGCAGTGTGATATGCAGTGTATATAGTCAGGGTTGTTTTCACTCAGGGTTTCCTACGTGTGGTCACATGACCTTTCCTTTTGCTGTCACATGGACACCCTAAATTGGACAGCATGCGCACAGCTTCGGTTAAGTCCTTGGTAGCAATCAAGCCTACTGAACAATATTTGCTAGCACAACTGGCTGTTTACAACAGTGAAGTTTAAGTTCAATATGTGGTCAGCCTCCACAAACTCTGCGGCTCACTGAGTTTACAAACAGGATATTTAGACATGCTTGACGCTGTGGCCTGTCAGCTGTGCCTACATTTACACGTCCTCTGGAACAAAGTAGTTCAGAGAAGTTATGTTTCTGGCATGTCTCTCTTGTAAAAAGACTTTAAAAAAAGTCAAATTTTCTCATTCAATGCCCAACTGACCTTATATGGAGGTGTTTTGAGAGTACTTTCATCATAGTCAAACACAGTGCTACGGTCCTGCACTTCATGAGGTATGATAGGAGTGGTTGATTTGTGTCTGGATAGACCAATCAGCTTCATGTGACTCAAATCAGAGAGGCACAGGGGTTGAGTATGCCAGGGGACCACAAGGTGATGCTTACTGAAAAGAGACAAATAAGAAACACTAGAGGACTTACGTGAGTATGACTTTACCTCATACTAAGCCATGACTGACGCAGAGGTTAATCTACAATCCTTCATCCATTTTTCCTTGTAGGTACAAAAATGCCAAAGGGATGCCATACACAGTGCAAAATTACTTCTGCACATATACAAAACCCCAAGTGATAGTTGTTCACATCTTCATTTTACAAAGCAGTCATGAAACTGTTGCAAGGGTTGCCCACTTGAATAACATGGCACACAGTGTGCATTTTTACTGCAGCAAAATTAACACATAAAAAAGCTATGAAAGTGGTTATGGCAGTTACAACTTCAGCTTGGGAGCCAGTCTGTTGATTTCTCATACCTCAGTAACTACTAAAAGGTATCTCCCTTCAAACTAGTGCATACCGGTCCAATACAACAAAAGAAGAACAGTTCTTGTTTTCTGATAATACTTATCCCCCTGTAAACATTCAGGGTTACAAGTTAATTCTGTAATAATGTTGAACAATATTTCTGCATGGGAATAGCTAAGCACGTTGGCCATTTTGAACTGTATCAGATTTTAAAGATGGAGAGCCCTGTAATGTTGCTGTTACTGTACATTGGGCTTGACAGACTATGAATCTTGAAGCTCAACAAATTTGCCAGTAGACACCTGCACACCAGCTGACTATGGATGATTTGGTAAGGTTTGTGGCCAGAACTGCCTCTAAAGTTACAAGTTGAAGGTACGTTTTTGCACATGAAACGTTGGCAGTGTGAGGAAAATCAATCTTATTCAGACTTACAGGGCTGACAGAATCTTTTGTGAGCCTACCTGGAATGACCTGGCACAAAAAGCCAAAGAGTTCGTATCACAGCTGTCACCTCTCTGGGAAAAAAAAATTTGGTAGAATTGTAAAACCCCATTGATGGAATGGTTATAAGCAGACATGTAATATCTTTCATGATTCCTATTCAATAAGCAATACAGTTGAAGCTGGGCTTATCCCAAGTCAAGAATACATCAAATCTCAAGTCTGACTAATAATACATAGGGACAACCAATGACAAGGCTATTTCTTCATCACAGCTCATTTTAATAGATTCTGACTTGAGCTATTAATGATTGGACCTATGCAACGAAAGGATTAGGCAACTATATTTACTTGCTCAAGTACCACTTATTTCAGTCAAGCATTTAGTGACAAAAAACTGTATCAGCCTTGAGAAGCACCCCCTCATTGGTTGAAAAGAGCCAGGTTGGTAGGGAGTGTTCATTTTGGGAGCTGCATCTTTTCTTAGTCCTGCTCAGGAGGGACACAGTGGGCCATGCAGTTACAAATCACAAGTATAGAGCTACATATTAGATAAGATAACAGGAGAGCAAGAACAAAGGATGATTCCTTACTTTTCATATTGTGGGCTGGCTACAACTATGACAGTCCTCCCACTGAGTAAGGCATAGACAAGATGAATGGCAAATGAGTAATGACCGATGAAATTACGGACACCAGATCCTGGGGAAAAATGCAAATCAACTTAAGTCCAAGAGTTAACAATGTGGTCAGATCAAACTAAATTTTTCCTTGCAAAAGTTCATACAGAAGTTTACTAAGGGTAATCAGTTGTATTGGTAGGGGCTGCTTAGGTTAGATTGGGTTGATGGCAGTGTGTTGCGCGTGGTGTGGTGCTTTCAGAATTGTATTGATGTGGGTTGGGGTTGGGTTGGGATTGGATTGGGGTTGGGTTGAGCTGGGTTGGGGTTGGGTTGATTGGGGTGGGTTGGGTTTGTGTTGGGTTGAGTTGGGTTTGGTTACTACTGAGAGTGGTGCAGTGGTGTTAGAGTTGAATCAGTGGTGGTGGGTTGGCTGGGTTACATTGGGTTGTTGAGGGTGGATTGATCGAGTTGAGTTGGCATTGGTGGGGCTGCCTGGGTGGGGTTGCCTTGTTGGGCTGGGCTTGTCAGGTTGGGTTGGGTCTGTTGGGATAAGTTAATGGGGTTGGGTCAGATGATGGTTCACAAACCATCAATGTCAGTGAAACGTCCAAACTTGGTCCTCCAGAGTTGGCTATAGAGGACATTTAGCTAGGCCTGTGCCGGGTACCCGGGTACCCGCCCGTCGATTTCAAAACCCGGTTCCATTTTTCCTGGCCGGGGACCCGTAAAAAAGTAAATAAATTAGGAACAAACATTCATACATAAAATGTCTGCGAAATTTCTTACTGAAGGACAGACTTCATGGAAAACCACCGTGCCGGTGAAAACCCGGTCCCGCGGTCATACATGAAACTTGAATTTGGAGATCGACAGCTAATTTTGTTACCCACTCCGCAAGTACTGCAAGTCGTTTTCCTAGTTCCGGAATTTCCTAGTTCACAAGAGCNAGAGTTTCCGTTTTTGTAATTTACCGAAAACTGCAAGCTTTTCCCCCACTCTCGGATCGCGCGGCATTACCACGCAAAGTCGTTGCGAACTCAACTACACGGGCACAGCAGAAATGTATGTGACGTAATGGGTTTGTCAACTGTTCGGCGCGGGGACGGTAACGTTGATAGCTCACTGTACAGTTGAAAAGTCGAGTCAAACCTTACGCAATTTCTACCTTTTTAATTCATTGGAATTCTTATTTTACATCTAATTTTCTCAAAATTAAAAGATTCTCTATTAGAAAAACAACTTTTTACAATGGTTTTGGCTGAAAATGGATTTTTCGTATGGTTGCTTTTTATTTGTGAAGACGTTTTTGTCTCAATCCTAAACCGAACCAGAAATAGGAAAGGTGTCATCGTCACTTTCGTCGATCGATCCTGTGAGTCCAAATATAAAAGCTTAGATTTTGAAAAAAAATTGAAGTATATCCAAAACACAAAGTTGACTTCTGACCATATTTCACTGGAATTTGAGGATTTTTTAGCTGCATGCTTACTGAATAATTTTCGCGATCTGGAACTAGGAAAATGACTGTAGCAAACCTATATGAACAAGAGACCGAAGGAGTTTTGTCTT